AGCAGCGAGAACTAAAAACCTCTGTTCTTTTATTTATGCACCCAGTGATCATATAATTGTTTAATAGGCATCACTAAATGCCTTTCTTTTAATGAGTGACAATGTCACATAACAAATTGAAAATAACATGAATGTCACTTTAACTGTGGTTAAAAGTAACATTTATGTTTTTGCACCCTTTTCAAGAAATTGATTTCACATCTTTAATAAGAGCTTTGTTTACAGTATTGATTTCTCCTAGTTGCTCCCTGGGCATCAGGGTAATTTTCTCAAGTTGAGGTCAAGTTCATATATTCTATTGTCACTGAGTCTGGAGAATTTCCCTATTAGAACAACATATTAACGTGGAAAGTATCTTCATTTCTAATTTCCAATCATTACAAACACATTATGTTAACTAGAATATACAAATCTAACCTCAGTATTGGCTTGGGTGTTGCACAGTGGAAATATTTCAATGTGGAATGTACTCACATGAAATGAGTAAAGGGTATATATTACTCACATAGGGACACATTTGAGTCATCTACGGAGGAAGAAACACTTACGAATTGCCACTTTCCGTATAATAAGAGGATTTCTCGATTGAATTGCATATTACTAACTGTTTATTTGTTCTTAAGAGGATGTAATATTCTGTAAGGGTTCAGGCCTACATAGTAGCCATAGTTCCAATTCTGCAATAATGCAATATCAGTGTATAGATGAAGATGCTTATATAAAGGAGATAGATTTAACACTATAACACAATCACAACAGCTGTAGACTCACCCAATATACTAATTCAATATATAAAATTGTTACATATGCTAGAAATCATTGCAAATCTGTCAAGGAAGACGTGGAATTGATGAAAATTTGAGGAACTGCGGAAATAGATTGTCTCAAGGTCTGAAGGAATATAAAATTATGCAATGCATGGTAAGCAAGCGTAAACATGTAGAATTCATGAAAATCATTATTTTGTATGTGATTTTTTTTATATGTAGGGATGGTTGATGATAAAAATGAGACGTCGCATCATAATTATTCTGAGTCTCATCTTCTAATGTTCAAGGTTGACTGAGCTTTAGGGGTAAAAATCAATTATTTTGTTTGATCAAACAGAGATTGTTTTAGTAAAGATATAGTAGATATGTGTAGATAGAGTATTATCACAGATAGTAAATTGATATAGTTAATTGTCATAGTTTGAAAATGAGGCCAGGTATATGATACGATGTGCATAATATAAATAATATGATAGTAACTTGACATAGTTTGTTGACATAGTTTAAAAATGAGGGCAGTTAAATACAACACATTGTGCATCTGATAAACATTGAAAATATATTAATATCTTCCATATGTTTAATTCAATATATTTCATTTCAAGTACCTGCACATGTTTCACAAGTGATACATAAAGTCATTAAGAGCAAGAGAAACCTCAACCACCCTGTGAAGAAGTCGCAGCTAGCTAGTCACTGCAAATAGAATGAAGAATGGAATAAACCAATTCTTTGGAGTGTGAAATTGGGAATATCTACCAGGCTGATTGATCTGGTTAATACCACCTGATTTTTCATATCTGGTGACAAAGGGTTAACATAAAATAGCAAATTGACAAAGTTTGGTATTTTGGTATTTTCTGTTTGTCCATCTGTCTTGTTTTTGAAATACTAGTGGTTAAAGGATATATTAATGAAGTGATTTGTGCAAAAACAAATGGCTATGAATTTAAATAAAAAGGCAGCTCTCTCTCAGAAGAACGCAGATGGGGCTAGATGGAGAAGGCGGGGCTTACCACGATTGTCAATAGGCATTTTTATTTGTGCTTTTGGTTTGCCTTTCGAGTACATCTGTGTACGGCTTATTACGGCTTCATGTTTCCCGCAAGCATGTCTGTACTTTTATCAGGTGCCCTGATTATAAGTGAACAAGTATGATACATGTTCATCTTTTGTCATCATGTACTCTTGAATAGAACAGGTTGTCATGGTAACAGATGGTACTTAATTCTTTGCTCTGGTTTGGTTCCATGGTTTGGTTCATATATTGCCTTCATAATCCATTATATAAGTTGTATGCGATGTATGAGAATAGAATTGAAGGAGTTGGCTTTTACTATTGTGTAGACATCCAATCTAATGGAGTTATGATGCATGTACTGTATACTTACCGGTATGTGGAAAAAGTAAGCAATTACATGTGGTGTACTTTGTTTTACCAACAACAATATTTATGTCACCATCACAAGTGATGACATATTGTTAATGTCATATTGCGATGAGATATTGTGGATGCTGGTTGGTGTTTGGCATTTGGCAGTTGGTGCCTGTAACAAATGGCATCTGTAACAAATGGCAAATGTATTTGAATTTTGTTCTTTGGACATATCTATTATGAATACTGCATTAAAAGTGAAATGTTCCATTGTCCTTGAGATGTTGTATTGAGATGATGATTCCTAAATGGTGGGAGGGGGAGGGGATGTTTGTCATTGTTAGATTATATTTTCAGATACTTGGTGTTGGTGATCCTTTTGACTGGTAGTATTTTTATCTGTTTTTTCCTTGCTGTGCTTTGTAGTGTTCTTTTCTCTTTCCCTTTTGCACTTGTGCTTACATATCCAGTTAGTTTAGTTAATTGCTCCTTTCATACTTTTATATATCGAATTAATGATAGTTCTATGATTAACAGTGCAGTTACACCATGGATTATTCATTAGTGGGTTTTTACACATAGGCATGTATTGTCACTTCTGACCAATTGTTACACTGCATCAAAACAGAGTATCATCATAAACCTAGTATCGCCATAATGCTGTTTCAGAATAACACACTATCACCATAATATAGTATCACAATAACATCGCCATAACACAGTATCACCATAATGCTATATAACAATAACACAGTATCACAATAATGCTATATAACAATAACACAGTATCACCATGATGCTATATCATAATAACAAAGTATCACCATGATGCTGTATCACAATAACAAAGTATCACCTTAATAATGCAGTATTGCCATAACGTGGTGTCACCATAATATATAATATGACCATAACAAGTATTGCCATTGAATATCCTAAATGACAATAAAACATTTTGTTGTTCATGTATAGCCCAGAAATTTTGCTCTAGCACAATGTTTATTGTTACTTAGGTGAATTATATTCCTCTAAGGAATTAAGTTCAAGAATCTATCTATCGTGGAATAATGATATTAGACTTATGTTTAATTACTCAAACATCTGATGCTATAATGGGCCTTGGATAATTGGGTCAATTGGAGTGTTAATAATGTCATGTAATGATGTCTAAATCTAAGCTGCTATAGAGAATATGATAACAACTGACTAAAATGTTCATAGAGAAAAATATAAAATATTGCATAATGGCAATAGTGTGTTATGGTAATAAAATATTACATAATGGCAAAAGTGATCAGCCATTTTTTGAATCTTTAATTATAAAGATATCAAATGGTGCATTTTTTGTTGGCTTCTGGCTCAATTTGTCGTAATTGTGTCGACTCAGATTTCCTTCATAACTTGCACTACTTACATTACCAGATCAGCTACTCATCATCAGAGTATTAACGAATAGTATTACCATTAGTATTACCAATGATGTCTTAGAGTGTTTCATCATAGTACATGTATTACCATTAGTATTACCAATGATGTCTTAAAGTGTTTCATCAAAGTATTACCATTGATATTACCATTTGTATTACCAATCATGTCTTAAAGTGTTTCATCAAAGTATTACCATCAGTTTTACCATTCATATTACCATTACCATAAGTAATACCAATGATGTCTTATAGTGTTTCATCAAAGTATTACCATTAGTATTTACATTCATATTACCATTACCATAAGTAATACCAATGATGTCTTATAGTGCTTCGTCAAAGTAATACCATTAGTATTACCATTCATATTACCATAAGTAATACCAATGATGTCTTATAGTGTTTCATCAAAGTATTACCATTAGTATTACCATTCATATTACCATTACCATAAGTAATACCAATGATGGCTAAGAGTGTTTCATCAGAGTATTACCATTAGTATTACCATTCATATTACCATTACCATAAGTAATACCAATGATGTCTTATAGTGCTTCATCAAAGTATTACCATTAGTATTACCATTCATATTACCATAAGTAATACCAATGATGTCTTATAGTGTTTCATCAAAGTATTACCATTAGTATTACCATTCATATTACCATTACCATAAGTAATACCAATGATGGCTAAGAGTGTTTCATCAGAGTATTACCATTCATATTACCATTACCATAAGTAATACCAATGATGTCTTATAGTGCTTCATCAAAGTATTACCATTAGTATTACCATTCATATTACCATAAGTAATACCAATGATGTCTTATAGTGTTTCATCAAAGTATTACCATTAGTATTACCATTCATATTACCATTACCATAAGTCATACCAATGGTGACTAAGAGTGTTTCATCAGAGTATTACCATTAGTATTACCATTACCATAAGTAATACCAATGATGGCTAAGAGTGTTTCATCAGAGTATTACCATTAGTATTACCATTACCATAAGTAATACCAATGATGGCTAAAAGTGTTTCGTGACTGTATTGGCAACATCCAGGTGAAGCAACTAGTATCCAGCACCTTGAATGATATTTACCCCATAGGGAGCTCAGTTCACTATAGCTCCCATTATTGCATAACTTATTAAGTTGCTCATCTGGGCCTCAGCATAATAACATGATATTGTCACTGTACTTATAAATGGCGTTGTTATGACGTCAGAGAATCAATAAAAGACATATATATACATGTACATGCGTTACTTGAGACAGTTCATTTAAAGAGTTCACACAACAGTACAATAAGGCATAGGTAATATTAGTAATAAATCAAAGATTATGTTAACCATCGAGTATCCTCAAAAGCATGTTTAGATCAAAATCTAATATTCTTAAACGTTGTTTGTTTTCAGGTTACAGTATGAAGACATAAAATAATTATAAAATGGAGCGGGAATTAAAACAGGAGGCGTCAAGAAAAAATGAATTGAAACAACCGCCGACTGGATATAATCAGTTAGAGAACTTAGACGTCAAAGAAGGGGCAGATTCTAAGAATGGAGAAATGAAACAAGCAGGTATTTTACAAGTAAGAGATCAAGAAATAAAAGAGGATAGTTGCACTTCAGAATATGAAACTAAAGAAGTGATGAATGAAATAGATGATGATGTAAAACAATCCCTAAACGCAATAGACCGTGAAATGAAACAAGGTATTGAAATAAAACAAGGGGCTATAGCAAGCCTTGCTGGAGACTGTCCTAAAATTAATCTACCTCCAAGATCGGCAATCATTCCAACAATCAAACAACGTCCTGACCCACGCTCCGAGCCTCGTGCTGAACCTCGCCTTGAGCCATATTCTGAGACAAATTTTGACCAACATTCTGAGGCAATTTTTGAGCCACATTCTGAACCAGTGATCGAACCATGCTTGGAACCTCGTCTGGAACCACGTCCTAAACTGCGTCTTGAGCCACGTCCTGAGCCAAGTCTGGAGCCACGTCCTGAGCCAAGTTTTGAGCCATGTCAGCCATGTCTTGAGCTCCGCCCTGAGCCACGTCCAAAATTGCGTCTTGAGCCACGTCCAGAACCTAGTCTTGAACCTCACTATGAATTGTTCAAAGAAACATTACGGACACGAACATTATCATTAGACGATAAAGACAGCAAGGAAGAGGGTCTCGGAAAAAATGTCCATGTTACCCAAGTGAGTAAGATGCAATGTCGAGTGACGAAAGTATTATCTGTACCTGTGAACATAGATGGCACTCAGGTCAGCGGGAAGAAACATTTAACATCACCCTTGGAGTCATCAGTATTGAACAGTAGAAAAAGTGCACAAATGAATCACAGCAGCATTCCAGCCAAAACTATCGAAAGACCTCTGTCTCCATCTGTCCAAAGTGCTCCAGAAATGAACACACATAGTATTAGCAAACATAGTAGGCCAACCCCAATAGTAATACACCCACAGTCTGACTACAACTCATCCACAGAGAAATTCCAACCTTTCAGTGCTTCTTACTTGGAGAAATCTCATTTCTCAACAGTTCTTGATGCTGAACGATCACATTCAACAGGGGCAATACGAACCTCGGGCTACATCTCTCAAAGTCTGGGATCTCCAACCAGCTTATCATACCTCGAAAATTCTGATAACTTACACCCGTTCAGTGCAGCATTCCATAAAACATTCACGAAACAAGATACAAAAATCCCAGATGTATTTATTAATAAAGATGATGATGATGACGTTGCTGGCTTCACAGAAGAAATGCTTCCGCAATCAACGACTCAGAAGCTGTCAGTCTCATTAAGGGTTGAGTCGGGGGTGTCGCAAGACTTCGACGATGACTCTGATGAAGGTGCCAGTGAGATGAGAATGAGATCTTGGTCAGGTGAGTTATGTTTTCTTTTGAATTCATATTGCAGAGTAATTGAATTCTATGTTTAACTTAACAATAAAACCTTTTAATCTGAATGCCACTAGGAATGGGCAAAAGTGTTTGAATTTGCAAGTGTGTACATTTTGAGGTTTTTTAACATGGAAGTCTATGGCAGATTGAAAAAATGGGACCAAGTGTTTAAATTGAGAGTTGTCCAGATTAAAGAGGTGTTTTGGATATACAGGTTTTACTGTACATTATTTTTGTAGCTAGACCTAATATTTTTTTATCCTCATTTGGCTAATGATGTATACTGAAACACAGACAACTGTTAAATTAATAAATGTACATTTTGAGTTAATTTTTCTTGCTGGCCATATTATATTTTAATATGAAATAGATGAGGAAGTATAATAATGCTAAAGTTAAACATGTTATTTATTTGGTGTAGCCTAAATTCAATTAGAGGTCTTAGTACAGGGTGTACCAAAAAAACTTCACCCACCTGATGAATATATCTTTAACCAATAGAGTTTTATAATAGAAAATTAGCACAATTTAGGTTAGTTCAATAGAAGTATTTTTTCAATATAGATATGAATGTCGAAAAATATGAAAAAAATATGAATGTCGAAAATAAAACATTTTACTCTGAAGTAAATGAACTTAAGTTATTATTAATATATTACCAGAGTGATGAATTTACACAAATATATGTTTTTAAATGTCATGTAATTGCTTACAGTGTTGGTTAAGATTATTAAATCTTTCAAGGAAGAGTCAAGTCCATTCTACCCTTCATAAGATCTTTATCACTCTTTAAATGAGTAACAATTCTTTGATCTACCAGATATCTAATCAGGATACATAATCAAAAAAATCATGAAATTACACAATCTGCACCATTGAAGTTTCATTTGAGATTATTAAGATCTCATCAACAGTAAAATCATCTGTGATAGTTAGAGGGTAGTGCAGGATTCAGGATATATTCAGGGTAGTGTCTGTTGATGAGGATTCAGGATATATTCAGGGTAGTGTCTGTTAATGCGGATTCAGGATATATTCAGGGTAGTGTCTGTTGATGTAGATTCAGGATATATTCAGGGTAGTGTCTGTTGATGAGGATTCAGGATATATTCAGGGTAGTGTCTGTTGATGTAGATTCAGGATATATTCAGGGTAGTGTCTGTTGATGTAGATTCAGGATATATTCAGGGTAGTGTCTGTTGATGAGGATTCAGGATATATTCAGGGTAGTGTCTGTTGATGTGGATTCAGGATATATTCAGGGTAGTGTCTGTTGATGTGGATTCAGGATATATCAGAGATCACGATAGTTGAAAAAACTTGTTAGCCATTGTGGCTAAATCTTCCAAAAAAATTTTCGCCAACCAAAATATGAATTAGCCATTTTGAAAAACCGTAAAAAAGGGAACATTAAAAATGATGCAATGTCTGATGATGACAGTTTCACTTTCAGTTTCACTTTTTTATAATATTCAGAAATAAAAAAAACGTCAATTAAAATTGAATGTAAAGCATCTGCCGCGAATGTGATCGGCATTTCACATAGTCTGCACGGTGTAATATCACCAATTCGTTTACCTTGTGATATCGGAGTCCCAAAATACTTCCAAACTGCCGACTTTTTCGACTTAGATGCCGGCTCGATTTTTCAATAATGCACTCGATAATGCACTCGATTTGCGAACGACGATGAAGAAATTTACGAACAAGCATTACCATCTACCTGAAGTCGCGGGTCCGTTAATAACACTTTTCAATGCAAAGAAGCGTAAACTAGGTACGAGGTCAGTGAAAATATTTAATTTTTCAGAACGAAGTCGGAGGTGTTCCTCGCTATTTATACACGTTTTTATGCATTCTAGGGAAGGAATCTATGTACCGATATTAACCCTTTCTGTCCCATGTCCCGAACCGAAGCATCTGGACCGAAATTCGGTCCAATATTGGGAAACCGTGACACCTCTAATTCGCCATAACTGCGAAATACCTTTACATATTTTTTGCCACCTCTTTCGAAAATTCGCGATTGGCGAATGGCGAACGTCTACCGTGATCTCTGATATATTCAGGGTAGTGTCTGTTGATGAGGATTCAGGAAAGATTAAGGTAGTGTCTGTTGATGAGGATTCAGGATAGATTCAGGGTAGTGTCTGTTGATGAGGATTCAGGATAGATTCAGGGTAGTGTCTGTTGATGTAGATTCAGGATATATTCAGGGTAGTGTCTGTTGATGTGGATTCAGGATATATTCAGGGTAGTGTCTGTTGATGAGGATTCAGGATATATTCAGGGTAGTGTCTGTTGATGAGGATTCAGGATATATTCAGGGTAGTGTCTGTTGATGAGGATTCAGGATATATTCAGGGTAGTGTCTGTTGATGAGGATTCAGGAAAGATTAAGGTAGTGTCTGTTGATGATGATTCAGGATAGATTCAGGGTAGTGTCTGTTGATGAGGATTCAGGATAGATTCAGGGTAGTGTCTGTTGATGAGGATTCAGGATATATTCAGGGTAGTGTCTGTTGATGAGGATTCGGGATAGATTCAGGGTAGTGTCTGTTGATGAGGATTCAGGATATATTCAGGGTAGTGTCTGTTGATGAGGATTCAGGATATATTCAGGGTAGTGTCTGTTGATGAGGATTCAGGAAAGATTCAGGGTAGTGTCTGTTGATGAGGATTCAGGAAAGATTAAGGTAGTGTCTGTTGATGATGATTCAGGATATATTCAGGGTAGTGTCTGTTGATGAGGATTCGGGATAGATTCAGGGTAGTGTCTGTTGATGAGGATTCAGGAAAGATTCAGGGTAGTGTCTGTTGATGAGGATTCAGGAAAGATTAAGGTAGTGTCTGTTGATGATGATTCAGGATAGATTCAGGGTAGTGTCTGTTGATGAGGATTCAGGATAGATTCAGGGTAGTGTCTGTTGATGAGGATTCAGGATATATTCAGGGTAGTGTCTGTTGATGAGGATTTGGGATAGATTCAGGGTAGTGTCTGTTGATGAGGATTCAGGATATATTCAGGGTAGTGTCTGTTGATGAGGATTCAGGATATATTCAGGGTAGTGTCTGTTGATGAGGATTCAGGAAAGATTCAGGGTAGTGTCTGTTGATGAGGATTCAGGAAAGATTAAGGTAGTGTCTGTTGATGATGATTCAGGATAGATTCAGGGTAGTGTCTGTTGATGAGGATTCAGGATAGATTCAGGGTAGTGTCTGTTGATGAGGATTCAGGATATATTCAGGGTAGTGTCTGTTGATGAGGATTCGGGATAGATTCAGGGTAGTGTCTGTTGATGAGGATTCAAATTATAAGATTCAGCAAGAAGAAGTGTAGTGAACAAGCCATTATAACAAAATATTGTAATTAAATGCTTTATATATCCAGAAGGATATCAAGCTGAAAAGTATATTGTATTAAATATATGTAATATTACTGCTGAATAAAAAAGGATAGATTCAGGGTAGTGTCTCTTTACTCGGCTCTTCCAAAGGTGAACAATGCTTTTGATTGACTGGAATAGAAATGAACCAAGTGAATACTTGATAGCCCTGATGTGTAAGGTAACCAGAGAAAAGATAACAGTAGAGAATAATTAATTTCATGGTAATCAAATCTGAGGCAATAATGTCATGGAATGATACACTTCGTGATGTGTTAAAAATAAAAATGATTAATTGATTTAAAGGAAATAGGATATGCATCGCTGTAATAAATGTATTTCAATGCACACGTACTATATAAAACAATTGACTTCTCCTGGGGTTAATTGTTACCTTTGAGAGGTCTATAATTATATCGTTAGTCCGAAAGATGAGGATGAAATCTTTGGTGAGTAGAAGATATCATGTAGGGCTAAATCAGTAATTGTAAAAAAATTGATGTTGCAGTCAATAGTCATAACTATTGACCTCAACTTGATGAGTCAAAACAGAGTATTTTTATCTAGATTGACAATAGAATTAATGATTTTGATTACCAACACGACACAAGTTGAATACTACATGTAATATAAGGACAAGTGTTTTGAGGATGACCTGAAGAGTATAGTACTATATTTAGTTGAAATCAAGAAATATTAATAACAAAATAATCAATATTTATATCTGGATGTGATAATTGTTTTCAGCTGGCTTGCTTTCTACATTCTCTGTACAACTGACATTAAATAAGAAGATCTAATAATATTGAAATTAAAGAAATATTGAAAGCACAAGATGCGAAGCTGTGGTACCATTGGAAAGCTAACCATAAAAAATTAATTTAAACAATTTTATTGTATACTAAAACTAGTCCAGGATTATGTACTACTTTTTGGTATTATTCATATGTACAAGCCTATTGTCAAGTGAACCTGTTAGAAAAAGGAATTGTTAGAATTATGAAATAAATCACACATCAGATCTTGAACACAAAACATTTGGCAATACTATAACATTAGTCAATTTAGGTTTAGAATTGAGGGAGAGCCTTTGCTCATGTACTTTGTCCATATTATTTGTACGCTTAAACCTCAGTTATTCACAGTTTATTGCATTTTTTGCTTTTTCTCACTATAGCAAAGAACCAATATTTTCTACACTGAATATTTAATTCTCATATTTGATGCTTGGTAGGTGGTCCATAATTATTGGTTGTTTATCTTAATAATGAAAACATGTAGGGGTTGCTATAACACCCCTGGACCAGAAATTCCTAGATTTGATCACATTAGTAAAGTTCGTTGGTCTCAATTTGAAAAATGAAAAAGAGCATCTCAAATAAGATGGCTGGTTGTCTCATATGTAAGGGCCAACTATAAAGGCATAGATCAGCCTCTAACAGACATTTCTTTCCAATACGAAAAAAAGCCGATCGATAGAATCACATGACATAAGCTCTTGCGTTGTGACTTGTATATTGAGCAATGAAGGTGCAGAACTCTGAGGCTTATTTGTGATGTATTGATACTGGGATAGTTTAATTACTCTATTGGAAT